TTGGTTTCAAAGGGTTCTTGTTACTGCTCTTTTTTGAGTGAAAGAAGAGTTCATGATAATTGTTATGGTGGCAAGGTTTGAAATTTTTTTGTGTTGTTTTATTTGTTATCAATTGTCTTTAGTGATATATGCCGATCTTATCATAGGTTTCTTGTTGGATGAATTGATCTTTGAGTTTGTTAAGTTGAAGAGTAATTGGAGGCAGATGAACAATATGCAAGAGTATTTGAAAGCAAAAACGGTCCTGTGCATAGATTTGACTAACATCGAGGTTAGCTGACACGGAGCAGGAGAGATTTTTTGTTGTGGAAGTTTAGATTGATTGATTTCATGAACTTAAAGAGTTCAATTTAAAGTTTTAGTGAGGTGGAAAAAAACTTAAGAAGGCTTTGGCTAATTACCCAAAGCACATGAGGAAGCTCGTCAATTGTCAGGGACAGGCCTTTCACAATTTAGAGCCAAAGAACCTCCATTATATAGTTTTTGAGCTGGAACTCAAATTATTTGAGATTGAGGCTTCGATGGATATCACTCTTCTTGCTTCTACTCATGCCATGGAAACATATTTATGATCAATGAAGTATGATCACAAACTTAGCGACAGAGAGGAACCTATTCAAGAAATAGTAATGAAGGAACAGGTGGACAATTACGCCATGTGAGCAAAAGAAGGCCCTCATTGTGGTATTTTATAAAAGAATACGATTTGGTTGTCACAAGATGAGAATTTGTATTGATGATTATGATATTGACTAAGTATTGAATTCAGAGTAGGCCATGGGAGTAAAGGAGGATGCTCACAAAGTGGTTAAGTTTACCTCCTCCGAAATATATAAGAAATGTGACCAGGTGTATTTTTAAGTCAGATGATAGTACTATCTTTTATGCTCGTCTTTCGCTTCCTATTATGATGTAATCTTGTGGTAGTTTTTACTCTTATATGATTATGATACGCCCTAGGGTTCCCAAATGCTCCTTCAAATAAAAGATTTCTCCTCCAAATCAAGGAAAAAATCAACACAAGAGGGATGAGATGAAGAACCAAAACCTTTGCATTCAAAATCCAATGGAAAACAAGATACAATTTGTCCACTTCGAGAAGGACAAGGTCTCCCACTACAAACCCTAGAAAAACAAGAGAAAGAAACTAAGGAGGCTAAGAGAAAACTCAAATCTTGCATAACCCTAGAAATCCCCCCTTAATCCCTACTTATAGCAAGCAAAAGACCAAACCAAACCCACTAGTGGGCTGCCCAAGCTGAACCGCCCAGCTCAGGCCTGACCCGAGCCAAACCGGTCCAGAAATGGACCGGTTCCGCTCAAGCCGAAGCCCCCGCTCCGCTCTGCGTCAAGCTCCGCGCCCGCGTCCCTCCGCGCGATCCTTCGGCGGATCGGCCGACGCGGCCCTCCTTCCCGGCCGCTTCCGAGCGCTCCGAGGTCGCCGACCCTCCCTCTGCCGGTCGGCGGCGGCCCGCATCA